GGGGGGGGGGGGGGCGATTAGACAAATAAGTATGTTACATCCATATTAAAGAAATCTCATCGGCTATACAAAAGGACCTTGTAAAAGAATATTAAATATCATGTTCAGAGGTTTGCCAAGTGTTAGTGACAAACTAGGGGTTTATTATCTCATATCAGTAAAAGAACCCTGTATGGTGAGAGAGTGTGTGTGTTTAGGGGAAAAAAGGACTAAAAGTATGACTTAATAATGTTAGTGGTTATTGTGATTTCGATTTATAACAATTTCTCTAGTTCGATTAACTAGTAGGCATTTCTAGGTATATAACAAACATTGTGGAAGGTGTCCCTCTAGTGAAAGGCAGGACATGGCTGCAGCGCAGACACCTGGTTAAGACTTTTAAATAGTTTGTTGTATTCAAGACCTTTCGAGGCAAATAAGAGCCTGGAATTAGTAAACTTTTCCGCTTATTCGAAAAAAAAATTTAAAGGGGTAGAGATCCAATTGCAAAAGTATGGACCAACGCTCACCCTGGGACACAGGTTGCTACAAATCTAGGCGCACTTGGAAGATTGACAATAACTTTTTCAATTGTCCGTGTCGGGGGATTTAAGCTCCTGAGGCTTCCTTCCCCTCTCCTTGCTTTTTGGTAGCTTGCGATCTAGGTCTAGGGTACCGGGACACGTGGAATCACAGGAGGTTCGGGGATGGAGCTGAGGCCTGTAGGGAACACCGTCGGGAGCGCGAACACCTCCCGGTGACTTCACAAATCTTCAACTCCACTCAGCTCTTCCTTGGCTGAGTACGGCCCGCTCTCGCCCTCTCGGGCTCGGCCGACTTTCGTCCGCTCGGCCCGGCCCTCTTCGGCTGCGCTCGGCCGACTTTCGTCCGCTCAGGCTCGGCTCTTCGGCTGCGCTCGGCCGACTTTGGTCCGCTCAGGCTCGGCTCTTCGGCTGCGCTCGGCCGACTTTGGTCCGCTCAGGCTCGGCTCTTCGGCTGCGCTCGGCCGACTTTGGTCCGCTCAGGCTCGGCTCTTCGGCTGCGCTCGGCCGACTTTGGTCCGCTCAGGCTCGGCTCTTCGGCTGCGCTCGGCCGACTTTGGTCCGCTCAGGCTCGGCTCTTCGGCTGCGCTCGGCCGACTTTGGTCCGCTCAGGCTCGGCTCTTCGGCTGCGCTCGGCCGACTTTGGTCCGCTCAGGCTCGGCTCTTCGGCTGCGCTCGGCCGACTTTGGTCCGCTCAGGCTCGGCTCTTCGGCTGCGCTCGGCCGACTTTGGTCCGCTCAGGCTCGGCTCTTCGGCTGCGCTCGGCCGACTTTGGTCCGCTCAGGCTCGGCTCTTCGGCTGCGCTCGGCCGACTTTGGTCCGCTCAGGCTCGGCTCTTCGGCTGCGCTCGGCCGACTTTGGTCCGCTCAGGCTCGGCTCTTCGGCTGCGCTCGGCCGACTTTGGTCCGCTCAGGCTCGGCTCTTCGGCTGCGCTCGGCCGACTTTGGTCCGCTCAGGCTCGGCTCTTCGGCTGCGCTCGGCCGACTTTGGTCCGCTCAGGCTCGGCTCTTCGGCTGCGCTCGGCCGACTTTGGTCCGCTCAGGCTCGGCTCTTCGGCTGCGCTCGGCCGACTTTGGTCCGCTCAGGCTCGGCTCTTCGGCTGCGCTCGGCCGACTTTGGTCCGCTCAGGCTCGGCTCTTCGGCTGCGCTCGGCCGACTTTGGTCCGCTCAGGCTCGGCTCTTCGGCTGCGCTCGGCCGACTTTGGTCCGCTCAGGCTCGGCTCTTCGGCTTCCTTCGGGCAACGCTCGTCTCGGGCTCGGCTCCTCTTCGGCTGCGTTCGGCTCGCTCTAGCCCTCTCGGGCTCGGCCGACTTTCGTCCGCTCGGGCTCGGCCCTCTTCGGCTGCGCTCGGCCGCGCCCCGGAAGGGCTCCCATGGAGCCGGGACTGCCGGCGGGACGGACGGCTATGGCGCCGCTGCTGGAGTACGAGCGGCAGCTGGTGCTGGAACTGCTCGACACCGACGGGCTAGTGGTGTGTGCCCGCGGGCTCGGCGCGGACCGGCTCCTCTACCACTTCCTCCGGCTGCACTGCCACCCGGCCTGCCTGGTGCTGGCGCTCAACACGCAGCCCGCCGAGGAGGTGCGGCCGCTGCCGGCGCGGGAATGAGGGGACCCGAGCGCGTGGGGGGCCTCCTGCGCGGACGCGAGGCCTGCGCCAGGGGTGGAGGGGCTCCCGGGGGAGGCAGGTCCCTCACACGAGTGGGAGGGCGTTGAAGGGGGCCCTGGGGCATATGCAGGTCCGCGACACTTCGCGAGGACACTGAACAGTATGGGAGGGGTCCCGAGGAGGATGCAGGTCCCTGACACTGTGCGAGGACTCTAGAAGGAGGGGTTCTGAGAGGAGGAGGGGTGTCACTTGAGGAGGATGGGGCGGTGGGGGGAGATTGGAGGTTCGTGCAGGGTAGGGTGAGATGTCTGAAGGAGGGTCGTGACAGGAACAATGGGGGAGTCCCGAAGTTGGATATTAGACGTTTCCGGTGGCAGAGGAGTGGGATCCCTAAAAGGGAGCAGTGATGGGGATGGAGGGGACTCGGAGACCTGATGGAGGGAGACCTGAAAGGAGACGCTGAGGCTGGGCAAACCCTGGTGGGAAGAGGAGGGGCAGGGGGAAAAGGGCAACCACCAAGGCTGTGGGAAGAGGGCCACAGAGTCAGGAGGGAGCTGGAAGCTGAGGATACAGGGGAAAGTTAGCTGGGGTTAAGGAGAATGGGGAACACTGAGGAAGATGGAATGGCAATACACCTGTACTGGCGGGTGTTGACAGGGGCCACAGTCTGGTCTGACAAGTCTGATGATCCCCGAAAAAGAGCCAGTGGCCAGGAGGAAAATGTCAGCTGAGAGGAGTGACCACAAACTTCTAGTGGGCAGGGCCCCTGTTTAATTTATCTAGCATCCCCAGTGTTTGGTGTAGGGCCTAGGGTAACACATGGTGCCCAGTAACTTGGTTTTGAAGTGGAGGTACAAAGGGGCAGGGGACCCATTGACATCATGAAGTCCCTTTAAGATGGATCAGGACAGAACTAATAGTCCAAAACACTGTCTGGGAAAAAAGATTCCCTTGTCTTCTCACAGAATACACTTGGCTGCAAATCTGGCTTTGGTGGGAGGTATTTTCTAGGTAGCAGAAGTCTTTACCCAGGGTTTTAAAAAGTTGTTTGTTTTTCCTGTTAAAGTGCTAATGATGACTGAAGTGCAATTATTCCTTAGCCCCTCAAAAAACAAACATACAAAAAACCCTAGTTAAATGCAGACTGGTTGGTTGATCAACATAAAGTAGTAACGTTTTGTCAATTCGTTATCTCTGAAAAAGACAGCACATCGTTTTAAATACCCGCAACCTATATAAAACTGTCCTGTATAAAACAGCCTCCTAATTAATTTTGATTTGATATAGGAGTATTTTATCAATCTGCTGAAGCTAGAAGGAGTTGAACATCTCCCTTGCCGTGTAACAAATGAAATCGCAAGTAACAGTCGTTATGAGGTTTACACACGAGGTGGCGTTATATTTGCAACAAGTCGTATACTTGTGGTTGATTTCTTGACTGATAGAATACCTTCAGATTTAATTACTGGTAAGAATTTGAAGTCTTATTACTATTTGCGTATAAATTTGTACATTTTAACTTTTGTCTGTCCCCTCCGCTAAACTCTAAACTAGAACCTTCTTGTGGCCACCACTAGATCTTCTTGATGAACATTGTGCTTCCAGCTGTTAGCGCAATACCTGTCATATTGTAAATGTTCAAAAAATATTTGTGACCTGAATAAGTAACTAACTGTAAGGTTGACTTTTCCTTGCTTTCCAAGCTCATTCGTATTCAGTAAATACTTGTAATTGGCTGCCATTTGCTTTTAGAACTTAATCAGATTTGAAATGTTTATAAATAATCTTTATATATTTCCCAAAAGATTTGGTTTTCCTCTTTAAGAGTATTTTTTCCCTTGATTTGAAATTAAGCCAAGTAGCTGCTTAATTATCTTGAGAAAATGGTTTAATTTTAGCTGGAATTAACAGAAAAGGAATTATTTTTCTTTTCTTTTCTTTTCTTTTTTTTTTTAATTCTTTCAGAAACCTTTTCTGATTTCCCCAAAACTAATTTAGGGGCCTTGCGTCTGTGTCCTCAGATTATCCTGTGCTTCTCCCCAATCACAGCACTCAGCACACTACATTATATTTGCCTGTTTATTTGTCTGTTTCACTTATGACCTAAGGTTCTTAAGCACAAGGTATGACTTGTTCATTCCAGACTAAGTAATTAATACATGGTAGGCACTAAACATGTATCTGTTGGATGAATGATGGATGGGTTTAGTGCAATCTTTAATGAACTTCTGGAGGGCAGAGAGACTATGAAATTCACAATCGTACTTTCCACTGTGTCTATCATATTGCTCTGAACCTGAACTCTCAATAAATATTTAATGAATAAATGTATGAGTGAATGCTTTACATAGTTAATGGTAAACTGAGGAAAAGTTTTGTTATTCTTTTATAACATTTACAGTTGTTATAAACAGTGGTATGGGCCTGACTTTGAATGCTAACATCTCGCTTACAAAAAGTTCCTTAATTTTCATGAACCTTGCTCTTCTCATTTATTAAATCAATAAAATTGTGCCTCCTACAGTTATAAGGATCAAATGAGAAAAAATAAATTGCTTATTAGTGTAGTACCTATACATAGTAAACTCTTAAGAAATGATAGCCAAAAATATACATATTGGCTTTTTATAGCCAGAAATCTTGATACATGATAAAGTCTTTTACAGTTTGCTGCTTTCTTATAAGCTTTTTTTGTTTGTTGTTGATTAGTTGGCAAAATGAAAAAAATTGTATTGAAACTACCACTAGATGTCAGTATTACTGTGTGACTTTCAGTTACAGCTCAACCTAATTAGGCAGAGAGCAATCTGAATCAGTGCGGTGTTAAGTCTAGCTTATAGGTAGCTCCCAATTAAAAGCGCCAGATTCCCTCCCCATTTCTGATCAAGTCCCATGCAATAATGAAGCTGGAGCTGCTCCTGCTGCTTGGCTGAGTGGGATGCAAGTGAATGCCATAAATGAATTCTTTCAGAATCTTCATCCCCCAGGCTCCCCTGTAAGAGCTTTCACAAAAGGCAGTGCCCTGTCACCAAAGGGCAGTCCCTGAAGCATGTAATCCTCTGTAAAGTACTGGATCCCGCCAGCCCTAACTTGTTCCCCTGTCATCACCCACTATCACCACCACACCCTGCCCTAGATATCTCTGCCAACCAGAACTCCTAAATAGGGGGAGAGCCATATAAATATCTACCCAGATTGTACTTTCAAAAGAGTAGGACAGGAGACTTTCATTCCTAAAATGGGTCCTGATATCTCCAGATAGAAATCAGAACACACTTTCCAGGAAATTTTTTTAAAAAGTTACACGATATTAGATTTGTGCACTCAGTGCTGTAATTCAACTTTATATTCATTCAACAAACATTTAACTTACTAAGGGACTCTTGTTTGGCAGGAATGTGCTAGGTGCTGAAGATAGAAAGATGAATGAGACCAAATGGTGAGTTTTGAGTTAGACTCCTTCTGGGTTTGAGCTCACCTTCACCATGCATGAGCTGTGTGACCTTCGCCAAGTTTCTTAATTTCTCTGTGCCTCAGTATTTTCCTGTCAATTAGAGCAGTACCTCCCTCCAGGATTATTGTAAGCGTGAAATGAGATAATACCCATCTATATAAAATACTTAGCATCATTCATGGCACATCCTAAGCATTCTGTGATTAATACCTGTTGTTAATTGTGTTCCTTTCCTCAAGCAGTTCAGTGGAGGAGACAGATATGTAAAGAAATAATTACAGTACAGTATGAGATACAAAATGTCATAGGAGCATAAAATTTAAGCAAGATTTAAGTGGGACTAAAACTGCTTTTGTTTTTATTTTACATTTTTAAAAAGGGGGTTCCTGAGGTAGTGTCACTTAGTAGGAAAAACATGGCTTTATTCATGATTTGGAACCTTTGGTCTCCCACTTATTGCTGGGCAACCTCAGCCAAGTTGCTTCCCATTAATGGTCCATAATAATACCTACCGCATACAATTAGCATGAGGATTAAATGAAATAAAAATCTATAAGAGTACCTAACCCAGTGCCTGGGATGTAGTATCAGTTCTCTTCTTCCTTCCGGGTTCCAAAAGAATGGCAGCCTTTTGGAGCACAACATTTTCTTAAATTAGGTTCACCTTTTCTTTAGAAGTCCATTTTTATTATTTTATATTTTATGTAATATTTCAATCCAGGTTAACATAATGGGGCCTAGCAGAGTCTTTGGAAAAACCCACCAACTAGATAGAGTATTTTCTGAGTAGTAAATTAGCTATGTACATGTATTGGGGGGTTTTGAAAATCTTTTGTGTACAGATCCCTAATTAACACTACTCATTTTTACCGTATTTGAAAAATAATTTGCTTAGCTAGAGTAACTTTTAATTCTATCCACTTAGATCCAAAATTTAAGCACCAATACAGTAGAATATGAATTGAGTTTATTGAACTACTAGGAGTTGTAAATCACTAATAGTATCATTTTGCAGACCTTACGAGTAATAAGAACTAGACTGAAATGTGCAAGTACATTTACAGCAAATATATATAAGGTAACCACCCTTATTCAAGTCTAAAAGACTGACAATCATCAGAATAATTGAATTTTTGGTCAATAAGTTACATTTATACACCCTTGTTACACGTTTCTCCCTAACTTATCATTAACCACATTGCATCAAAATGGCATATATAAATGAAAGATCTTCTGGTCCAGTATTCTCATTTTATAAATAAGGAAATATGTATAATTGTCCCTGTTTTTGAGATTCAGAGCGATCGTAATCACATACCCCCAAGAAAACATAATAAATATATTCATTAAAGGTTTTTATTTCATTTTATTTTATTTTAAATGGACTAATTTACCTCTCAATTGAACATATTCTGATTCTGAAAATTGAATTGATCTGGTAAGTGTTGTAAATGTTGCCCAAACCTCTAAAATGCAGCTATTTGTGTAGTCCACATCTGACTCATATAGAAACAGACAATTAGTGCCCCACTTTGCTTTCAGAAATTCTTCTTCCAACGTGCCAGACACACCCCACCCCAGGGCCTTTGCTCATTGTTCTCTCAGCCTGGAACTCTTGGCCCAGATCACAAACCACCACCCCTCCTCCACACTCACTCTCCTCCTTCTCTGATTCAGTTTTGCTCCTTAGCACTTATAACTACTAAATGTTTTACTCATTTATATTGTTTATTGCAAGTTCCATGAGGGCAGGGATTTACATCTCTGATTCGTGGCTGTTACCCTAGCCTGGAATGGTGCCTGCCCATTCTCAAGTAGGTACTCAGGACAAATGTGATGAATGAATGAATGAAAGTGAGCCTGAAAATTCCTTATCTCTTCTGTAATTTAAATTATAATTTTCCCCCTCAGGCATCTTGGTGTATAGAGCCCACAGAATAATTGAGTCTTGTCAAGAAGCATTCATCTTGCGCCTCTTTCGCCAGAAAAACAAACGTGGTTTTATAAAAGCTTTTACAGACAATGCTGTTGCCTTTGATACTGGTTTTTGTCATGTGGAAAGAGTGATGAGAAACCTTTTTGTGAAGAAGCTATATCTGTGGCCAAGGTAAACGGCATTATGTGACAAATTTTTGTGTGAGGATTTACTGGAACTTAGTTGCACTTTAATGTAATATAACACAATGTAATATTTACTGTAACTGCACTTGATAGATGCTAGTCAGGTTTATAGCAAACACATCCAGATACAAATATGTAGGCACCACATTTGTGATTCTTTTGGAAGCAGAGAGTTGATAGTGACATTTCTGGTAGTCCATCACATCGATCCAAGGACAGCCAGTTTCTTTTTTCTTGTATATCTAGTGAAATCCCCAGGGAATTAGAGACACAGGTATAACAGCTTTAGGTGAACTGCAGATTTATTGGCTAAGACCACCATTTCTGCTTTGAAAATTACTCATTAGGGAAATTAAGCAGGAAGATTTTGAAGAATTTATGTAAATTTCTAGGAAAAACATAAGGTTTCAATTTGCAAACATTTTCACAACCTAGGTTACTTTGTAACCTAAGTGGTTATTCTGTATGTTATTTTAAGAGTAGTAGTTGTAATATTTTTTCTTTCTTGATTATTATGCCTTATTACAGGGGCCAAAAAACTTTCCCTGTAAGTGGCTAGATAGTAAATATTTTGGGCTTGGCAGGCCATATTGTTTGTCACAATTGACACAACTGTGCTGTTACAGCACAAAAGCCATAGACAATGTGTAAACAACAGACATGGCTGTGTGCCACCAAGACTATACAATCGGGCACTGGATTAGGCCCAAACCATAGTTTGTAGACCCCTGACTTATTTGAATAACAACTCCTCCATTCATTGAGGTTCAAAATATTCTTGACAATGTTGTCATTTTGCTGTCCATTTTGTTTGTTTCTTAATTGCATTTACAAAGGCTATTAGAATATTAAAATGAGACCAGAAATACATAGCCGTTGCCTCTCTAGAAAATATTTGAAAGATTTTTCTCTCTTTAGGTTCCATGTAGCAGTAAACTCATTTTTAGAACAGCACAAACCAGAAGTCGTAGAAATTCATGTCTCTATGACACCTGCCATGCTGGCTATACAGACTGCTATACTGGACATATTAAATGCATGTCTAAAGGAACTAAAGTGCCATAACCCATCGCTTGAAGTGGAAGATTTATCTTTAGAAAATGCTATTGGAAAACCTTTTGACAAGGTACTCTTTTTCTTTTCCTTTTTAAGCACAGTTTGTTATGTTGTAATTTTAAAGAATGCAAGTTTGCGATGTTCTTAATAGGAATTTGCTGTTATTTTAGAATTGAATTGGAAGTGATTTAAAGTATAGCGTCTTTGGTTTACTGGAAAGTAATAATTTGTAGTAAAACTTGTGGACTGGTATGTAAAGCGTAACTCTGACTTTTGCAGTTATGCAATAAGTGATTATCTCTTAAGTATAATCAAGAGGAGAATAAAAAACTTTTTTTGCTCTGAAATGACTGCATTTGGATGTCTACAGGTCAAAGAGTTCTATATAAGAATGCTTCATAATTGTACATGAATTTTTTATTTCTTTTTTGGAATAAAAAATAATTTGGACCAATTTTCTTTACTGAGGAATGTGAAACTTGTTCTGTCTTAAAATTACATTCTGAATTGAGAAAATGACTTTAGTTCAAGGAATTTTTATTCTAATTTTTTTCATCAAAGTTAATATTAATATAGATTTATAAATGTCTAATATTGAATTGTAGATCCCGAAAATGCTGCCTTTTTAAAAATTCCTGGCAACTTTTTTTTATATTTTGGCGCAAAAAGTTCCAGTCTTTTAAACTTTGAATCAGTCTTTTAGTCACTGGAAATAATGCACAGTGATTATATAAAAGGAAAATTTTAACTTCTCATTTCTCTAATTCTTCCCAAATGTCAGATTACTGTGAAATATTGGTACATAAACCTAACATCATGTATTCTTTTCCTCTGTGCTTAAAGTGTGTTATAATTTAGACTATGGTAATAAAAAAAAATCCTTAAAGGCTTTTAATAGAATGTATATTTCCCTAGAAAAAACAAAATGTAGCCGCATATGTTTTGCACTAGATTTCTGTTTATCATCCCTTGAGTAGTAAGATAGTACTGAGTAGTAAGATAGTAGTAATTAGTAGTAATTTTTTTAGATATTCTTTTAGTAACCAAATCTAAATATAGACATAACTTGTATCTTGTTAAAAAATTTAACCTTTTGTAGATGATTTTACAAAAGAGACACATAGTTATATGTCCTAGTTTGTCTAGGACAGTCTCAGTATCTACCTGTTGTCCTGGAGTAATTACTAATCGTATCTTGTTTCATTTTCACAGATATCCTAGTTTGAACAATAGTTACAGTCATCCAAAACTACTCCTGTTAGATAAGATGCCATGCAATGATACTGCTCTATATTATGCTACAAATATCTGATAAACATCAGAAAATTCTGTAACTAAAAAGTTACATAATTAGTTTGAGAAGGAAATGTGCATAAAAGTAGCTGTGGATATGTAGATACCTACATAGTATATATATAAAGCTCTTTTTTGTTTTAGTGAACTTTTTTGGAATCTTAAAAAATATTTATACTTAGTTATCTGCTAATTTAACAAATATTTTCCTATCATGAATCTACTTTAAAAAAAATAAATATACTAACAAAGTACACTGTTATTTAATTTGATGCCATGTGTTTTCCTTGGTTATGTACCCTGCTCTGTGGTCCAACTGGATCCCATGTCTTTATCCATCCAGGATAGAGTCAGAGCCAAAGTCGGCAGGAATTGAAGATGTCTGAGCTACATGCTTTGACTCTGTTCATAAAACAAATAATTGGTTTATCAGGTCTTTTCTCTCCCAACAATAATGTAAATACAGATAATGATAAATTGACTTTATCCGATCATAAAATTCTAGCAATTAGAAAATTTTGCTCTATATTTGAAAAATTAATCATTATTAGAATTTTATGAGCTGAAATTTTCTAGCCACTTCCTTGGGTAATAATGTTTCATTTTTAGGTGTACAGGGGATAATCTTTTTTGAAAGTATGATTTGTATTGAACATCTTTTAGCAATAGTAAATTTTATACTTGTTTTAGACAATCCGCCATTATCTTGATCCTTTATGGCACCAGCTTGGAGCCAAGACTAAATCCTTGGTTCAGGATTTGAAGATACTACGAACTTTGCTGCAGTATCTCTCTCAGTATGATTGTGTTACATTCCTTAATCTTCTGGAATCTCTGAGAGCAACGGAAAAGGCTTTTGGTCAGAATTCAGGTGGGAGATAAAAATACTAATATTCTTCTGGAGGCTGATTTGAATAAAGTGTTAGATTTTGGGGGAGAATCAGGTGTGGGGAGTGCTAAATTCAACTACATGTTATACTAAGATTTCAAGTTATGTTTTATGTTCGTTAGCACAAGGATGTATGTTTTATTGATAGTTAATGTTTCCACCTACTTAACTTCTGTTCTCTATAATAATAAATATTCATATCCATTCTGGGCAATTTTATTTCTAGAAAAGATTGTGTGTAGTACAAGCAGTTCCCAACTTAGAAATAGGTTTTCTTCTGGAAGTTTAGTTGTTAAGAACTTAAAATTTATTTTCCCAAAGAGAATGCAAGGGAGTATGTGGTTTCATCAACTGGACTGCTATGGACTGAAGAGCAGAAGAGATTTGTAAGGAAATATACATACACAGCTGGCCACCATCTTGTCTTCCTACCACTATTGTGGCCTTTGTCACTGTTTGACTAAACCATAGTTTTTCAAAGTGTGGTCCATGGGCCACTGGGGCTAACAATTTTGCCTCTTTCTGCAGGGACATTCTTAAGTATTTAACTTCATATGCATGATGGTAAAGAATGCATTGACTACTTGCATGCTTTCATGCCACTGCCATGGTTTGTGCTAAGACACCAGCAATGTTACCCACCAGTGCTTTTGCACCATCATTGGAAATATCAACACAGAGAAAAAGGTCAAGTAGTGTCTTAGTATTTTAATGAGAAAAGTTTTTACATCACAGACCCCATTAAAACATCTTGGGGACCCCCAGGAGTCCACAGACCACACTCTGAAAACCACTGGTCTAGCTGCACAGTGACAGAAGCTACAATACTGGGAGAAGGTATGGTTGGTAGGAAAACAAGATGGTGGCCAGTCATGTGACAACCATCAGAGACTATTTTAAATTAACCATAAATTGAAGATGCCTATTTTTTTTTACTTTTCATATTAGGCTGGCTGTTTCTTGACTCCAGTACCTCGATGTTCATGAATGCACGAGCAAGGGTTTACCATGTTCCAGATGCCAAAATAAGTAAAAAAGGCAAAACTTCTGAAAAAATGGAGATTAATGAAGGACAAGGTATCTTGTAGGCTTAAGTCTTTAAATGTCTTTTATTTAAGTATTTGATGTGAAAATGCTCATCAAGTTAAAGTGTAATTTAAAATCTCCTTCAACCATGTAAAAAATGTGTGCCTGTATGTTAAGTGTATGTATGTTATATGTAACATATATAATGTATGTTAAGAGTATTCAGCATGGCAAGTCTTGTAATCCATTGCCAAGGGATTCCAAATTACAAATGCTAAATACCAATCAAGAGTATGCTACAAAAAGAACTACAGATTGATAAATTATTTTTCACTTCAGAGTAATTACTATTTTGGTAATGGTAATTTACTATTAAATAGTAAACTACTATTACTATTCTGAGTGGAATGTTTTAACACTTCTTAACTTTTAAAGAACTTAAATATACTAGAATGAGGCAAATATCAGTATCCTAAATATCACTAGTTTTTTAAAGGTATAAGATAGAGTTAACACTTGCTTTCAGCCTAGTTTAAAGGTCTGTTTCAAAACTTAATTGAGGGCCGGCCCGGTGGCGCACTGCTACAGTGCGCAGCTTGGGAGCGCGGTGGCGCTCCCGCCGAGGGTTCGGATCCCACATACAGACCGGTTCCCGCTCACTGGCTGAGCGAGGTGTGGGAGCAACACCAAGGGTTGCGATCCCGTTGCCAGTCCCGGTCTGGTACGGGCACGACACTGAGGGTTGCGATCCGTTGCCGGACACAAAAAAAGACAAAAATGAAAAAAAAAAAACTTAATTGAATATATTAATCATGTGTTTGAGTACTTATAGAAATAAAAGCTTGATTGTTGTCTGCTTTTATCTATGTTCAGGATTATGAAAAACATGGGGATTTTAGAAATAATAAATACTGTCATTCTGTACTGATCCCTTTATTTTATATAGCAGCTCATACATAGTGTCACAGTTGAAAACTAATACTGAGTCACCTCTTATGGGTAGCATTATAAAGACTAAGTCTTTTTCAAGAAAGCAGATTCTATCTAACATTATGAAGAAAGCTCAAAGTATGGGCTCACAGAATGGTTCTTGTGTTATCTGTTGTTTTAAAAGCCTTTGGAATGCTTTATGGGTAAATATTTTTGTCACATAGAATGAGGTCACTTTTTATTTCTATACAGAAGCTAAAAAGGAGCTGGTCTTAGAAAGCAGCCCGAAGTGGGAGGCACTAACGGAAGTATTGAAAGAGATTGAAGCAGAAAATAAGGAGAGCGAAGCCCTTGGTGGTCCAGGTAGGAAAAAAGGAGACGACGGCGTTTGCTTTCAAAATCTACCAAATGAGTCTTGATTTGCTCGCTCACTCTCTTACTTATAAAGTGTAGAAAAATAAATGCGGAATGAAGCCTGAGTTCTTAGTGGCAACCTTGTTTCTGTTCATTTGATGTGATTTTCTCCAGGTTGAATCATTGTGTAATTCATGAAAGCAGGGGTTTTTTTATTGGTTGGGTTCTCAGGACTTCTATTTAAAGATTCCACAAATCTGCACATATATGTACACCAGGCTTTAAATCTGGGATCCCCAAGGAATAAGCTAATGGCTCTTTTGTTTTATTTCCTCAGCAAGTATCTTTCCAAAGAATCCTGAACCCTTCTATGGAGTGACATTGACCTAGCCCTTGAAAAAAATTCCAAATTTTATAGCTGCTCTCTTCAAACATGGATATGCTAGTAGATTAGCACAGTAGACTGAACCTGAACAATAAATTAAAAAATGAAACCAGATAGAAAATAAAAGAAAAAAAATTAGATTTAAAAAAAAAAAAACTCTTGATATCTTTGAACTCCTGCAAAGCAGTAAAAGACAAGCACACAATCATTATATTAGTAAATATGCTGTTGATATTATCCCAGAATTTACAGTGCTATGATTTAAGATCCAAAGACACACATTCTCACTGTAGAAAAAGCGAAAAGGATAAGAAAAAGGGAGAAGGAAAAAAATTACCTTTAGCAGCCAGTGTTAACATTGGTGTATTTCCTTCCAGGTTTTCTTATTATTAAAGTCATAGTGTAGATATAATTTCTGGACATAGAACTAATGGGTTAAATGATATTAACATTTTCAAAGTTCTTGAGACATTTACCACATTGATTAACAGGAAGTTTTTATTCTTCTTCTTTTCTTCTGGCAACGTGAGAGCTTATGTCTTTTTCACTTAGCTAACCATGATTGGAGATTCTCTGTATTTGTGTGTATGTGTACAGATAATTTATATATATTTATGTATGCACACATACATATACTTATATATATTTAAGTTTTTTAAATTTGGTTGGAGAAAAATGTCTTGTTTTAAATTTTGATATATAGTAAGCTCAGTAGTTTCTGAAATGCATTTCGTCTTTGGTGATTTGTGTTGGTCTGCTTTGCCAATTCAGACTTAATGTCCTCAATTTGTGTTGACTATATATATTGAAAATATTAACATTTATCATAGTTGCTACATAAATTTATTTTTGTCTTTAGCTTTTTTAATGCACAGGTTTTTATTCTTATAGAGTCGATCTTAAAGTATAGATATCAGTCTTTTCTGAGATTCCTAGAAAATCATCTCCACCTGGAGAGAGAGAGAATAGTCACTTTTTTTTTTAATGATTTAGTATTTAACATTTGACTCTGTAATCCATTTGACTATTTTGGTTTATAAGATCCTCTGGAAAATTATTAATTAAAAAGAGCTTCTTTAAAGCCTCTATCATTACATGGCTGTACTTTCATAAGACTCTAAATAGTTCTGGCTTCAACTTTACTCAAAAGATCTAAGTAATCCTGCCAGAGAAGTGAAAGCATTTGATAAGTATCTAAGACCCTTTTTAAACAATTTGTAAATTATGGATCTTTACCACCATGGGATAAGATGTCTTCCCTTTGGGGGAAGGGACGAGGAGTCACGGCAGGAGTAGGGGGACAAATGAGGTGATAGTAATATAACACTGTTTTGTCATTTTAGGCCAAGTACTTATTTGTGCCAGTGATGAGCGAACATGCTCCCAGCTGAGGGACTATATCACTCTCGGAGCAGAGGCCTTCTTACTGAAGCTCTACCGGAAAACCTTTGAGAAGGACAGCAAAGCTGAAGAAGTGTGGATGCAATTTAGAAAGGAGGACAGTTCAAAGAGAATTATGAAACCCAGCAAAAGACCCAAAGGCCCCCAAAACAAAGAACGGGCTTCCACCAAAGAAAAGACTCTCAAAAAGAAAAAACGAAGGTTGACTTTAACTCAGATGATAGGAAAATCTGAGGAACTGGAAGAGGAAGGGGATGTCGAGGAAGGATTTCATAGAGAAATAAGCAGTAGCTCAGAAAGCCGTTTGGAAGAAATTAAGCATGAAGAATTTGATTTAAATTTATCATCAGATGCTGCTTATGGAATCCTGAAAGAACCCCTGACTATCATCCATCCACTTCTGGGTTGTAGCGACCCCTATGCTCTGACAAGGGTACTCCATGAAGTGGAGCCAAGATATGTGGTTCTCTATGATGCAGAGCTAACGTTCGTACGTCAGCTGGAAATTTACAGGGCAAGTAGGCCTGGGAAACCTCTGAGGCAAGTTTTAAAGAACACTGTTTATTAAAGCTTTGCATTACACAGTTCTTTAGGATTTAACACAGAAACTATACCTGTTGCATATATTAGTTTTCTTATCTTTAACAGTCCATTGTTTTGATGCTGGGCACATTTTTGAAGCCCTGTTTTGCTTTCTGATGAATCTGGGAAGTTGCATGGGAAGGATGGCGAACATCGTAGAAGAACAACAAACCTAGAGGACTACTTATGTCCTCGTTGCCTGCCGCCCTGTTGTTCTGTACATGTTTTAGGTGTTGATCTTTTCCTAGACTCTGAAAAAGTCTAGGAAATTTATAATATTCTAAGTTCTACCAAAAGTTAATCTAATTATAACTGAGCTAAAATATTGTAATCTTCTAAAATGTCTTTCTTAGACATTTTAAGAAGTGACTCTAAATTACATCCATATAAAACTAGTGTTTGGGGAAATTACTGTACCAAGTTTTCTTGAGTTTCAAGAAATATCAGATGAAAAATCTACAGAAATACCAGATGGGAAAGTGATGCCTCCCAAAGAATATAGTGTTCTGGCTCTCCAATTATCTGAGGGGAAGTAAACAGCAAAATTAATATCCTGAACTCAGTGTGAACCAAAAACAGAGCCAAAAGAAACCTTTTCTAGCAGTTTGACTAACACAGCCTTTCAGAGTAGAAATGAATGGAAGGATGGATCAGAAATAATGCAGGATGAAGAGATTAGATGAAGCTGGTAGGGTTTTCATACCTTGCTGTTGATCAACTTTGTAGATAGCTCGTGTGTGCCAAGCTTCTTCCTTGCCTGAGAACAAAATAGTGTGATATTTGGAAACAAAATGTCAGAATCAGAATGGACCTGGGAGTTTGACCACTCGCTCTATCAATGGGAAATTGAGGCCCAGAAATGGTGAATGTTTTGGCCTTGGCCACATGTGACATCCATGGGAGAGCTGAGGTCCTTTAACTCATTGCCCAGGGGTCTTTTCCCTGTCTAATCTAGGAAGATAAAGGCTAAAAGAAAAACTGAGGACTGAAAAAGGAAAAGAACTCTGATAGAAGGTGAAGAAAAGGGATAAGGAGGTGCTTAATTCAGCTGTCTTAGCAACAAATGTGACAGAAGAGCAGGCCTTTCCTAAGAGAAAAGATACTGAATTATTTTTTGAAATGCCTGATATAATTTCATATGTCTTCTGTGTCCACATGTATATATAAAATGTGCAGTGGCTGTGTCCTGTTAAGGCGTATAGATTTCATTTGTTTATCTTTCACTAACATGAACTTTCATACGCTGGTTTTTATAACTACTATTCAACTTTTTTAAATGATTGTTTGGCAGAGGTGCAAAGAAAAAATTGAAAAAAGAAAAGCCTCTAAGATTTTGTTTTCTGATTTGTTTACAGTTATGAGGAAAGAATTACTCTATCCCTCTAATTATATTTCAGTGTTTACCTAAACTCTGTTCCTCCTTTTTTGGTGAAAGAAAAAAAAAATGTGGTAATGAGAACTTTAACAGGTTGGGTTCAGGCAGCTTAATTTTAGTGAGCATGTAATGAATGGAACCTTTTATTCTTAGTCATTTATTCATTATTTGAGTACTCCAGGTTTCTGATTTCACATGTGCTGCTGCCCCTTTCAGGGATTAAAAATTATGTTTCTGCAAGCTGAAAGAGTTCTGTCTTAACTTGCAGGGTTTACTTTCTCATATATGGAGGTTCAACTGAGGAACAGCGCTATCTCACTGCTTTGCGGAAAGAAAAAGAAGCTTTTGAAAAGCTCATAAGGTAATACATAGAAGATGAGTATGAATGCACAACTGCCTTGAAGGCCTTTCAAGGTACAAAGGCTTCTTTGGGTTGGGGAATATTTAAGAGCTGGTGGAAAAGACAGGGAGAGGAAGAAGTTGGAGAGGATCACATCAAGACAAACATGTGGTCTGATTTGTTCCCCAGCATATGCCTCGGCATGTACTTCCTGTTTCTGCCCCCACACCATGTCCAGTTGCTTTTCAATGGTTTGTTTAATAGAGTATTAGAAATGTGACGAAGAAAGCTGCTTTCCTGTTTATACAAAAATATCACATAAAATGCCAGAAGTAAAACTAAAACGCTATTTTTCTAAGAAATATGTTCTTAAATCTCCCTTCTCCCTACCTTGTGCACAAGATTCCTGTCTTCCCTTTGAATTATGATTTTTTTTTTTTTTCTCGTAAAATTTCCCTTGTCTGTGGTTGGGGGGCTGCTTTACCGTTTACTGGGAAATACTTTTACAACCCAGTCTGTTCCAATCACCATCAATAGAATCACTCTGGGAAAATATTGTTTTAAAGGTGTGTTGTTTGTTTGAATATATATGGATGTGTTTGAGAATGGGTATCTGGTAATGTTCCAAATCCACGTAGAAAATGCCTTTTAGTTTACCATAAGGAAAATGTAAGTGAGATATTCACAACCAATGAATGTCTTACCTCTTAACACTGAAAGGGTTCAAGAAATCTGATAACCACCCACTAGGGATGTTGTCAGAAAGATTGTGGCTTGGAGTGGGAAGATGGGTCTGATGATCTCTAAGGGGTGTCAGAAGCCAGGGCAAGGGCTGGACGGGACATCATTGAGCTGAGCCAGAAAACGGCTAGACTAGAGGAGACCAGGGCCTAGGCCTAGTGTGATTGGGCCAGACCAATCTTCCAAGCCTCACACATTGGCAGTGTTTTAGTGGCCACAAGAGGGCAGAAATTATTTTCAGTGGCAGTCAGCCTGCTACAGCCCTAGACAGAATTTCCAAATGGACAACTGTTTTAGTCCATTTTGTGTTGCTTACAACAGAATACATGGAACTGAGTGATTTATAAAGAAAAACGAAATTTATTTCTTATAGTTTCTGAGGCTGGGAAGTTCAAAGTCCATCTGGTGGTGGGGACAGTGACCCAGAGGTCTCACATTGCAAGATGGTGGGAGCAGAGAGAGAGAGAAAGACAATCTCCTCCTCTTTTAAAGCCTTCAGAACCATGGCCCTGACCATCATTTTTAATCCATTCACTACTGCAGTCCTGCAATCTTATCACCTCTTCAAGTCTCCACCTTTCAATTACCATAATAGGATTTCCTACCCTCTTAACAGTCACAGTGGGGGCTAAGTTTCTACTACATAAAACTTGGGGGACACAGTTCAAGTTTCAGGGAGTTTTGGGGGTACGTAATTCAATCCACTACACCAGCCATCCCACAAGGCTGGCTGTGGGTTCTCAGTTTATGTATAAAATATCCATACATTCTGGTTAGTCCAGGGCAAGCATTCCTGGAAACTGGTGTGTTTACCAAATCAGTGTCATTGAGTCTCTGTGGATGGATCCAGCATGGCAGATGGGCAGTTCCCTTTCCTAACTTTGAAATCCCCTAGGATTGTGATATGCCTTAGCCATGGATTCTTCTAGCCACCAGTCCTACAATTATTGTTCAGCCCTGTCAGCCTATGAAAATATATTTTCTACTAATGTGCTATGTGGGATTGTTTATATTGTATATGTGTGTATATATATTTTTTGAATAATATTTCAGAAATGGTGTTATAACAGACCAGGTATTACAGAGGCTGCTGCTTCTTATTTAAAGCTCTTAGCACATCCCTGTCTTACTGTGTCTTCTAGACCTTCATACCCCAAGGCTCAAACAGTAAACAGATATTCTTTGTGCTAATATTAAAGTGCTGAGGTTACATTGGTGCAGAAAAAGTCTCTGCCCTCCTGGAGCTTATCCTCTAGTGGAAAAGACAGGCATTAAATTATAATAAATACTGTAATAGAAGTGTACAGAGCGTTGCTGGCTGTAAAGTTAAAAGAAGAACGTAATAGGAGAATTTGTCAAAGAGACAAAAAGCTCAGAAACTGATTAGGAACAGCCTTTCTGAGGAAGTGATCTTCAAGCTGATACATGAAAAATGTGTGGGAAGTGCTAGGCAGATGGGGTAGAGGAGGGGGTTATGTGGAACGAAGGCATGTATGAGGCTCAGAGGTATCCTGTTAAGGATTTAGGACTTTAAGGTCAGTGAGACAGCATTGAAGCATTCTAAGTAGGAAAGTGACTTAAGTATGTTTTTTTAAAAGCATTCACTGGCATCAAACTGAGGAACGACAGCATGGAAACCAGTCAGAGGGCTGCTGCAACTGTCTGATGAGAGAGGGTGGTAGCCAAGATGAGGTTAATGGAGAGACAAGGACAGATTTAAGAGATAGTTAGTAGAAAGAATCAAAGAATGGGTGAGACTGGCTGTGGGCTAATACTTCCTAACCATTTTTTTCACTCTTTTTAAAGCATCCTTTGCCTAAGTTTTCTCTGATTAAAGTAATTGCCACCGAGTTACAAATGAGCACATAGAGCTGAAATATTCAGATTAGGTTATTGGTGCTCATGTCAGGGGTCCCCAAGACCACCCTCAGGCTCCATTTACTAGAAGGACTCACATGAGTCAGAAAAACTGTTATACTCATGGTGCGGTTTATTACAGCAAAAGGATACAGAGTAAAATCAGCAAAGGGAAAAGGCACGTGGGGCGAAGTCCAGGGAGAAACAGGCCGAAGCTTCCAGGTGTCCTTTCCCAGTGGAGTCACATGGGTATGCTTAATTCTCCCTATAACAGCATGTCACCACACATGCAAAGTGTTGTCAACAGGGAAACTCACCCAAGCCTTGATGTCCAGAGTTTTTATTGAGGCTCAGTCTTGTAGACTCAGGGTACCCACATAACTGACTTCAGCTACTCAGACTCCAGCTGCCAAGAACAAAAGCAGGTATTCACCATAAATCACATTATTAACATAAATTCTCTGATCCGACTGATACTCTGTGGCCCAGGGCTGGTCCAGAGGAGACAGGCCTTTCCTGGAAATGTGCAGCATTGGAGCAGCCCAGGCCTGCTGGGTTAACCCTTCCCCACACAGTGTTATAGCAAAGGCACCCAGTGGTGTTGGGGGAGGATGGCACCCGAGTGGGTGGGTTTCATGTTGCACGCTTTCTGCATGTGGCTGCCTCTTCCCCAGCAGCTCAGGGTTACAGAATCCAGAAAAGCGCACTTTCAGTAGATAGTGTAAGGTATTGGGGACCCCATGCCATTCCTGGTTTATGCAGGTGCTTCTTGCACCTCAGAGTCTCAGTGACAAGGTGTGGATAAGCCCAGCACATACTGGAAGCCTCACTCAGCAGAACTGGAAGGGAACATGGACTCTCCCACATTTCAATCAATACAGTAATTTCCATACCAGGTCTTAATGTAATTTTATCTATGATCTGGCATAATTTCTTCTAAATTCTCTCAGTGGCAACTGTCTGTTAAAATATGATCTTCCGGGCCGGCCCGGTGGTGCACTGCTACAGTGCGCCGCTTGGGAAGTGCGGCAGGTGCTCCCGCCGAGGGTTCGGATCCCACATACAGACTGGCCGCTCACTGGCTGAGCGAGGCGTGGGAGCAACACCGAGGGTTGCGATACCGTTGCCGGTCCCGGTCCGGTACGGGCGCGACACTGAGGGTTGCGATCCGTTGCCGGTCACGAAAAAAGACAAAAAGGAAAAAACAAACAAAAAAAAAAAATATGATCTTCCATTTTACACAGCAATCAGATGGTTATGCTGTTTAGACTCTTAAGATATTTTCCCAGAAAACTTGGGGAACTTGAGAGGTGTTTGTTTTTAAAAGCACAAAAATATTTGAGGTGCGTTGCTGAAAGAGCATTTGCACTGTGCATGTGCTTAGAAATAGAATGTGAGAATAAGATAATGTGCTTTTGCCAAGACCTCCATGGGCGACGTTGTCAGAACAAAAGGAGCACTACTGTTTAAAATAACCAGAAAGGAACAAATCAGCCAAACTGGCAGTGAAAGGATCGTTTAGCTAGATTAAAGATCAGTAGATTACAGATGACAAGCAAAGAGAAAAAATATTATACTTCTACGTATTGATAGTAAGATGCTCCCTGAGTAGAAAAATCCTCAGTATACATGTTCTTGAAGAGGTCACTGCTTTTCAAAGGAAGGGGTAAGATTATTTGAAATTTTACAGTTAGAAAGCATCACAAAATGGGTTAGCATGAGGGATTTAATAAATGCCCATTGGGAGAGACTTCTAGTTTATTTACCTCCCTCCTACAGCATAGTGTTGTACTAACTATTCAAGTATTATTGCAGATATTAAAACAAAAATAGAAAACCTTGGTACTTTAAGTGGAAGTAGAAATCTGAATTTTTAATTATTATTTTGTGTCTATCACATAGAGTAACTTGGATAATCATGCTAAATGTTGAAAGCAAGTGACTGAATATTTATAATGATGGTGGCAAATTTCTATTAAATTAATTTGAATTACTAGTTAAGAAAACTTTATTTTCTTCACAGTCTGGATTTCATTTCTGGAGTATATTTTTTTCAGATTCAATTAGTACTTATGTTATAAAATTTAGTGGGAAACTAGCTGTTTTATATAACAATATTAATTGAAACAGTTGTGGAATTATTTGAAAGCAAATCCTCATTTTTTAGTATGATCACAGATAATTAGGGGATGAGGTTACTACGTTATAAGTACAGTAATAATAACAGCTAATATTTATACAGCATTTATGTGCCAGGCACTGTTCTAGGTGCCTTACATATATTATGTAATCCTCATAACAGTGTTTTGAGTAGGTTTCATTATTATTATCCCTACTTTACAGATGAAGAAATTGAGGCACAGAGCCATTAAATGAATTGCCTGAGGTCACATAGCCAGTAAGTGGTTTCAGAGCCACACAAATGGAACCACACAAATGGGCTATGTGATACAGCCCCTCACAGATTACAGATTAATCAGGAAATTGGGATTCCTCCATGTGTGATACATAGCTTAGCCAATCGGAAATAAGTGGAAATAAAGAGGGAAAAAAATGGTGAACTTAGTCCAAATGTTAAAGAAAAAGAAATTTAAGAGCAGCAGTTTTTTTTTTTAGTGGTTTGCCCTTTGTCCTAACTAGAGTATAGTAGATGTACTAGAGCAGTCACAATGGGCCAGGGCCACTGCCATTGCCAAGAATTTTTCAGCACAAGAATTTACCTGACACTGGTATTAAGGTTAATGAGAAAAAAATGGAACTAGAACCATTGTCTGCCCCATTGTGATCCATTCATAAAATGTCACACTAGTAATAACTTCGTTTACGTAGATTGTTTCAAATAGTATCGAATTTAAAATTGTAATTTCTATAGTGGTATCTTGTAGTGGTACCCTGCTCTAAAACATCACTCGTCTCTGATTTTATTCCCTTTGATCAGAAAATGTTTGAACCCTTGCTGAAATGCATTAGTATTAACAGCTCCTCTTCTGTCTCACCTTACTCTAGTCTCTTATTGCATTTCCTCAGATCTACGGGTTTTTTTCATGGTTGTTTCCTCAATTCAGTCGCAAGTCCCAGGAGGGAAGAGACCCAGCTTATACATCTTTTCTGTCACCTAGCACAGATTGGACACATAGTGCTTGCTGCTTCATGAATTAATTATAACATACTTTACTAGTTTTGAAAAATAAGACTGCAGCAAACCTGGCTTACTCTTTCTGTGATTATAGAGGGTCTTGGCATGATGTAATTCTGAATTGCACATCTTAGTTATGATTGTACAGCCCTTTAGATCTACAGGGTATAAGATACCGAGGTACCTTGAAGATGGAAATCATTGTATGGTTTATATCCAAAGTATCTAGCACAGCACGCAGGAGCACTCCATAAATGTATTTATATAAATGCACAAATGAGGGTTGAGTGCTGCTTCTTAGGCCTAAGCTAAGATGCTGATTTTTTGTTTTAATCTCTAATGGATATTTGGTTTCTTGTATTAACCTTGATTTTCCTTTAAAGTTGGAGGTGTTTAAGGAGGCCTCCCACCTAAAGTTTTTTAAGTCAAAGTTCTATCATACGTGTGTTTTCATTTTTTTAGTCATTGATTTTTAACCATCCCAATTATGATTACCCTGAAAATATTTGACTATAAATGATTTAAATATTTGTTAATGCTCAATAACACTTACATAACAGTCTCAATAATCTCTCTGTGGCATTTCTTATGTGCTTATTTCATGTCTCAAAGTGCTTGAATATAGAATAGAAAATAAGCAGCTTTTTACACTGGCACATCAGGAAGTAGTACCCAACCAAGGAGTTTTTTCTACTTCCTTTACCCATCACTCATCTTTGCATATTTACTTCTAATATATTTCTCGTATCCTCTTTTACTACTACAGCCAGGTAGATCATTTCTGATATTAGAATTTACAAAAGATTAAAATCTAGAATTTTTAAATTAGTTCAAAAATGTTTAAAATGTGTTCTCCTCCAGGGAAAAGGCTACCATGGTTGTCCCTGAAGAAAGGGAAGGCAGAGATGAAACAAACCTAGACTTAGTAAGAGGCACAGTGTCTACAAACGTTTCTGCTGACACTCGCAAAGCCGGTGAGTATTTCCCTTTGCCAAGCACCCCTGTTGCCTGTAAACAAGCCTTTGAGGTTCCAAAATTACTCTGCAAAGGCTTGGTTTTTCTCAACAAACTCTTAAAAATGGAGATCAGGCCAGGGAGAGGATGTCTGCTCCCATACTCCAACCTCATGCCTGCCATTTACTAATCAAGTGTCCTCCCCAGAGCTAAGGCACCACATCATCTATAAGAAAAGTGGATTGAGTTCTAGGCACACCAGCTTAGAATGAGTTATGTTCCAGCATTGCTTTTAAATTTGGCTGGTTGAGACTCAGGATATACTTTCGCAAAGTAACTTTGGTAAATGGTGATTAGGTTTTTATCTCAACCCAAAGAAGCCAACTTAACTCATAGAGTAGCTGAAGAAAATTTCTCCTTCCTTCCTCTGCCACTCTTCTTACGTGTATACGCAGGCAGGAGTGGCTAGGGGTACATATATTCCCACTCTCTTTCTGTAGTCATTTGTGACTTCTTGGTACCTCTCCGGATCTTGTGACTGTCTGGTATTCTCATTGCTGTGCAGTGTCCGAACTGTTACATGCAACCAAGACTTGCTGAATTCCAAATGCACCTTGATCCAGAAATAATCATTTTCCCACTCCCAAATTCCCACTTTCCTATGCAGCAGCTGTCAGCTAAGCAGCATGAGAAAAGCAGTATGATTGAGTTGATTACTCTTTGCTGATGTCAAGTACAGTTAGAGTGGTGGATCTCAGAATTTAGTAGACCTACGAATACCCTCAGATGTTTGTTAAAAGTGTAGGTTCACAGGCCTCAATCCATAGAAATGCCGACTCAGAGGCACTGAAATGGGGTCTGCATCTCAGGGGCTTCTGATGGAAGTGGTCCTTGGACCAAACTATAAGAAATACTGCCTCAGAGCATCTGTGTCTTGTTTGAAGATTCGTTTTTCAGCTAGGTTGGTGACACTTCGTGAAGAACTGCAGAATGTAAAGCAGTATGGAAGAAGATAGATTTGAGGTTGTAGGTGCAGAAAGCTGTTCATAGAGGTCTGTTCTGTCAATTTCAGTCCTCTAAGCTTTTGTATTAGTTTCCTATTGCTGAGCAAACTTAGTGGCTTGAAACAGCACACATTTATCACCTTATAGTTCTGCAGGTCAGAAGTCCCAAGGAGTTTCAGAGGGCTAAAAGCAAGGTGTCAGCATGGCCGCATTTCTTCTGGAGACTCTAGGGGAGATCCCTTCCCCAGCTTTTTCCAGCCTCTAGAGGCTGCCTGCATTCCTTAGCTCCTGGCCCCTTCCTCCACCTTCAAAGCCAATAGCATAGCATCTTCTCTATTCTCTGGCCCTCCTGCCTTCCTTTTTCACCTCTAAGGACCCTTGAGCCTACCAAAATAATCGAGGATAATTTCCCAATCTCCAAGTCCTTAACTTAATCACATTTGCAAAGTCCTTCTTACCATGTCAGATAACATATTTACAGGTTCTAGGGATTAGGACATGGGCATCTTTGGGAGAGGTAGGCATTATTCTGCCTTCAATAGCCCTTGATACTTAGAAGTATAGTTCTTAAACCAGCAGCATTAGTATCACCTGAGGTTTTGTTAGAAATGTGAAGTCTTAGACCCCTTAGAACCCAGACCAACTGAATACAAAATCTGTTTTGTAACACTATCCCAGTTGATTCACGTGCACACTGAGTGTGAGAAGCTGTGTTCTAAGGTATTCTTGTTTTCACAGCTCCTTCCCTTTCCCATCTCTGGACTCACTGATACAAGTGCCACAGCTCCCAAGGCAATTTGCTCAGTGAGCATTTTTAAGCATCTACAATCCTAGGAATTAGGAATACAGTGTCCAGCAAACTGTGGCCAGTGCAACCACAAGGGACAATAAAGGTGACTGTGGAGGAAAGACCATAGCGAGCGTGTTTGTATTTCTGAGTCACTGTAAGTAAGGAAGTGCCAATAGATTCCACCTTTCCTATTAGCTCTATTTAGTTTAAGGGAAATTACCTCTTTCTCTATAAATGTCTTTTGGGAAATATAGAAAAATGTGGAATAATACCTGTAATATTATGTAACCATCCATCAGAGATTAATAACAGAAATATGGATTTTAAACTTTATTATATACCCTGTTTGAGAGGTCTTCCCCAGTGACATTATTAAAAATGCTACTTTTTCCTTCTAGGTGGCCAGGAACAGAATGGTACGCAGCAAAGCATAGTTGTGGATATGCGTGAATTTCGAAGTGAACTCCCGTCTCTGATTCATCGTCGGGGCATTGACATTGAACCGGTGACGTTAGAGGTTGGAGATTACATCCTGACTCCAGAAATGTGCGTGGAACGCAAGAGTATCAGTGATTTGATCGGTTCTTTAAACAACGGCCGCCTCTACAGCCAGTGCATCGCCATGTCCCGCTATTACAAGCGACCTATGCTTCTGATCGAGTTTGACCCTAATAAGCCTTTCTCCCTCACTTCCAGAGGTGCCTTATATCAGGAGATCTCCAGCAATGACATTAGTTCCAAACTCACTCTCCTTACACTTCACTTCCCCAGACTCCGGATTCTCTGGTGCCCCTCCCCTCATGCAACTGCCGAGCTGTTTGAGGACCTGAAACAAAATAAGCCACAACCTGATGTGGCAACAGCACTGGCCGTTACAGCAGATTCGGAAACCCTGCCCGAGTCAGAAAAGTATAATCCTGGTCCCCAAGACTTCTTGTTAAAAATGCCAGGGGTAAATGCCAAAAACTGTCGCTCCTTGATGAGCCACGTTAAGAACATCGCAGAATTAGCAACTCTGTCCCAAGACAAGCTCACAGGTATTCTGGGGAATGCTGCAAATGCTAAGCACCTATATGACTTCATTCACGCCTCTTATGCAGAAGTTGTCTCTAAGGGAAAAGTGAAAAAATGAGCAGTGGTGGCTGTTTTCTGATCCCATGACTGTGCTTTTCAGTTGCACTTTGCCAGCCATCGTAGGGCATTATTAATCATTAGCTCGGTACTTCATTCTCTTCTACTGCTTTTAATGATTGTGCATTCTGTTTCAAGGTCACTGGACCAGAAGCCAAGGTTCCTCTCTGAACTCTGCATTTAAGCATCGTGTTAACTTCCCCACATCTGCTCTCCCCCTCCCTGCACTGTCCATGCCAGACTTGGTATATTCAATTTTTAAATGAGGTGTGTCGGGATCAGGTAAAGTTTCTACAAGTGTTAATTATGGAAGGCCATTTTTGAAACAAGCAGAAATCTGTGTTTGCTTCACAAACTGAAAAAATACACAGTCATGCTCCTACCCTCTGTCTACACAGAGGCACTCTGGAACACTGAGAAGGGACATCTCTTTGCCATTCCTGACCTGTTCTCTCTCACATATTTTCTTCAACCCCAAGCTTCTGCCACCTGTCTGCGTCTAAGGAAAATTCACGGGGCTTTCCTTCTACTAATTTGAGACAGCCATCTCTCAAGCTGGCTGACTAGTCTTATCACCTGAATGTATGTAGTGTGTACTATAACTTGACTGTTCAAAACTAGTATTTTTAAGACATAAAATGAATTTGATGGTGTGGGTGAAAGAGCCCTTGGAATTCTGTTTTTACACATATTCAACCTCCTAAAATCAGAAATCTCTAAGCCCAATAGCTAGTTATAGAGTCTTTTAAGACGTCTCTTCCCAGCTCTCCTCACATATCCTAAGACGTCAGCACCATTTCCCCTAGAAGTGCAACACCAGCTCATCCTGTCTTTGGTTCTCCATTCCTCATGTTCCTGTGCCAGAGGGCCCTACCTGCTGTGTGTGAGGACTCAAACACAAGCAGATGAGTGGCCCACAAAGCTTTTAAGATTTGGCTTTTCTTCCTTGAGTTGAGATGAAAGGATTGTAGATAAGTGGAAGATCAATGCATAGAATATATTAAAATTCAGAAGAAATATATTTATTTAAAAACCCATAAAGTAATCCCATTCTAAACCTCCATCTGATTGATTTAGGTTGGCTTTTTACTGAAGTGTACATACAGGATGTTCATAGCATCTTTGTTCAGTTTTTAAACTTTTATATTTAAACATTATTAACTTAGCTATGATTTACATATTTCGTAATGAGTAGTACATTTTCTACCTCAAGAGCTAATATAGACATCAATTTTGCTAGCCATATCACATAGTTTAGCATTTCATCAATGTCAGCTATTTTTTTGTTTATTACACTGAAGAGACAGTGGACCACATGACACAAAATTGTCTTCAACTTTAACAAAAGTGCTTTTAACTATCCTTTCCAAACTGAACCTCTCATATTGGCATCTTGATTTATTGGTACTTAACAGTATAGATGGATTTAGAGTACTGTAAGAATGAATTGAGGGGTGTCAAGAACCAGATTGGTGTCCATGGACCTCTGTGAGGCGATGTGGAGAGCCCAGAAGAGGACAGAAACACACATGAATTTAAGGCAGAATGAAGATTTGGGCTATTTTTGTCCCAGGGTTAAAAATATGCCCTCTACAATAGAAAACAAAAATATTGAATGATTGCATTAATGTTAACATTCACTTTTGTATTTATTGTTTTATTGAAGTTTAATCATAGTTTGAAGTATGTTAAAATAATATATCACTTCAAATGGTAATGGTTATTATGTTTCTTCACTCTATTCTAGCACTTCTGTTTGTGGTATGTAATCTCTATTTTTTCTTGTATAATTCCACCTGCCTTTTATTGTTTTCATTACATAAGAGGAAAAGCTTAACATAGCACATTCTGTGATTGGGGTTTTAATCCAAGTTAAATTTTCAAAAATAAGCTCTTCTTAAAGCTACCATTTTAAACAGTTCTTGTTGTCTAGTAAATAACAGTCTTAATTGTATTTAGTGCCAGTGTTCTTTGGCTCTCAAAATCTATTTGCTGTTGTACCTACAGAACTCAAGTGCACTGTCTCATGTATTTTAATTATGATCGATAATTTCTGATGAACTCTAAAATGGTCATTATAGATGAAAGACTCTCACTGCCACTTCTTCCAACTAAATAAATATATTTTAATGAATTTCCAGTTGTAGAAAGTTTCAGTACATCCATCAAAAGTATTTACTTTTCTCAAATTTTTTTTACAAAGTTTTACAATCTAAGGATTTTTGTTAAAGGAACTAGAGATGCATGCAGTTGCAAAATTAATGCATTACTTTGTTTTCTAGCATCATTTTGTTAACACTGCCTTTTTCTTTCAAAACACTGAATATCCAGTTTACTTATGAACTCATACTTAGCTTTTTTAAAACCTTTTTAAAAAGTTAGATCAGCATTGTTGCTCTATTTTACAAGGTTTTTGCATAAAAATTTCAACATGTGAAATACTGTGAGATCATTTTCAGTTTTGTTGGTTTAAATCATAGTGCCTCTCTTGATATTTCCTTCAAATTATACAAGAAGAAATCATTTTTAATACTAGCCATAAATATTGTTCTTTTGGCAATAAGTTACTGTTTCTTCAGTCTGAGACTGACTGAGTAAGCTGTATGTCTGCAATGTTTGTGTGCACACAGCATGCAGTTTCCCAGCTCATGAGGGACTGAAAATAATTGTCTCATTCATCAATCCATTAGGACATGAAGGGTTAAGTCTAGATTTGGTCATGTTGAGATAACAGAGTATAGAATTAATATAATGGCCTTCAGCAGTCCTAGAGCAAATCTGAAGCAGTAGACGGGGAGGGAGACAGGCGTTACTGGTCTTTGCTTTTGTTTTTCAAGCATAATTTGATTTTCCTTTGGCTCACACAACTTCTTTAGGAGAATTATTTTCTCTTTTGTGTTGAGTTTAACCTAGAGATGTCCCCTTAACTAACATTTTAGGAAAACTCTTTTCTCAGTCCTGAATATATGAAAATTTAGCCAGGCTTTGACATGGATTGTCATTTTTTATTATGTTGCTTTCTATTTTAATTTACAGCTATTTCTTGTCCTATTCTGAACTTCAGCACTGAATTAACCATCTTTACCAGCAGTTTTTCAGTGGCCTCCACCACTGTGCTGTTGTTTTTTAATGTAAGAGTATGGAGACAAAATTTGATGGGAGTGAGACATAACTGATTTATATCAATCTGTAACAGAGGTGTGTGTTTAATAAAACGTATATTTATTCAGTATTTTCCTCAGCAAAGTAAAAAAACAATGTATAGTGAAAAGGTATATATTACCAGCAGTGTGTTGGTAAATATCATGTGAAATTCAGAGAATGTTTAATTGTTTTCTTTTTTGTTATGCAGAATAAATGATTAAAGCTGAAGTGCTCTTTGAGCCACTGCTTTGCTGTTTGGCTCGCATGGTAAACCTCTTTCTAAGTCTCCTGTGTATTTTTCTTTTTGTTATTTTCCCTTCCTGCTTTTCATTTTGTAGCATGTCTCCTTAAAGAGGAAAAACAAAAACTCTTCTCCTTCTGAAAATACTCATTTTTTGGTGCATGATGAGTATGTGGTAAGCACAGTGCCTGGGACCTCTCAACAGAGGTTAATTTCTTGCCACCCCTGCCTCATACATTTTTTTTCCTTTAATGTCAAAGTTGGAAGAAGTAAATTATCCTTTTGATGCACCTGGACTTTATTGTAATCTCTTAAATAAGTTTAATTATTCGTTTACTGATTGGCTCATTTCAATGATTTGATTATTTTTGCTTCTGCTACAAAATGTAGATCCATGAGAAGTGCAAGTAGGTTATTTCTCAAAATGTTTTAATGTCTGAATAAAGACATTGGCAGACTAATGAACCCTTTCTTAGCAGTAGTAATATAACACATTTATGGAGCATTTATACATTATCTCATTTAATTCTCATAACAAAGCCGTAAAAGTACTCTTATTTAATCCTGTTTTACAGCGATGAAACTGAAGCACAGAGAGGCCAAATAATTTGCCCAAGGTCACCCAGCAGTAAATGGTGGAACAATAATTTGAAACCCAAGCAGTCTGACTCCAGAACCCATAATGAAACATCCGGAATGGATGAAAAATCACATATATAATTACAAATATGTCATAGGAAAAGCAAATTGGTTTGTTTTCATACCTCTCTTAGATAATTATGCAAAACTTGGAAATAGGCAAAAGAATACTGAGTACCCTTTCTGTGTAGAGCTAGACGTTATCTAGTAGTCTATGCTGCCTCTGACTTTCTAGGGCTGTGTACCTTTTGTTGACTAATTAGGAAGACTATTTTGCAACTTTATGAGAGTAGAGATTAGGTTGTAGAAAACGTGTGTCAATGCAAACAATTATTCTTGTCTAGTAGCATTGCAAAGGTTATTGCCTAGTGCAGCATTAACCAGCTTTACGTTCTCTGGCAAATTTATTTTTGCATTCCTGTGACTGACCAACCGCAGATCTCCAGGTCCTTGATTTCATTCTGAACCAGTCTTAACATCATCCTGATTTCCTTATTAATTGAGTCAAATAAAATCTTTGACTTCTGTTTTTTTCTTTTTGTATGAGAGTCATATTTTTAACTTTGAAAATTGTATTTTGCAATGGCATTGCCAACATAAGCTCCCATAGCTCCTATATAATGATAAAACACTATTTCCAATCTCATAATCCTAGTTAAACCTTGTAAAGTAGAAGAGGATAATATATGTACATATAAAATATATGTATATCATACAGTCATACATCACTTAACGATGAGAATACATTCAGAGAAATGCATTGTTAGCTGATTTCATCGTTGTGCAAACTTCATAGAGTGTACTTACACAAACCTAGAAAGTATAGCCTACTACACACTTAGGCTATATGGTATAGCCTGTTGCTTCTAGGCTACAAACCTGTCCAGCATGTTACTGCACTGAATATTGCAGTCAATTGTAATACAATGGTATTTGTGTATCTAAACATATTTAAACCTAGAAAAGGTACAGTAAAATTATGGTATAAAAGATTTAAAAAATTGTATACCCGTATAGGGCACTTACCATGAATGGAGCTTTCAGGGCAGCAAGTTGTTCTGGGTGAGTCAGTGAGCAGTGCATGAGTGCGAAGGCCTCGGACACTACTGTAGACTTTATAAACACTGCACAGTTACGCTACAATAAATTTATTAAAAATTAAGTAATTGCACTATGACATCACTAGGTGATAGGAAATTTTCAGCTCCATTATAATCTTATGGGACCACCATCGTATATTCGAATCATTGTTAACCAAAGCGTTATGTAGCACATGATTACATATATTTCTTAAATAAATAAGTACAATTTAGTACTAAGATGTTAATATAATAAACTATAAATTGATAAGGTACTAGTTTAAGCACCATAGATAAATTTTAAGATGCTGGCATATTGCTCGGTGGACTCATTTCTATTTACAAGAGCTCAACTGAACGTTAGTAACTCGAGTTCCTTTTCTGTGTAGCCATTGACTATTAGTGTTAGAGTCTGATTCATGAATGAGAAAGAAGAGGAATTTTAGATATTTGCAGGGATCTATTTGTGTGACCAAGATATTTCTATATCAGAAGAACAGGGCTCCCTGAGGCCCGGAAGATAAACAAAATCAACTCGTGATTTCAAACAAAGGGGTCTCCTGGGATTTATGAAAACAGTAAATAAACTGGATCTAATGAAACAATGGGATGGCATATTTGAGATGATGATGATTTGGGGACCCTTTCCTATAATTAATGAGCTCCAGAATTTGATGTCAATTCAAGAGTGCCCTTCACTGAGTAACAGATTTGCCTCCCTGAGCAACTTCATTTCTGGGAAGGGTGACACCCAACAGAAGCTTAGGAGAGAAGATAGGGAAGCATGCCTGGCAGGTTTGTTAGCATCAGGCATTAATTGCTTAAGGCAGAGGGCTGTCTCTGGGTTTGGTGCTCTAACAGTCCACGCCATCAAAGGACGTTCAGTTAACACCGAGGTCAAGGGTTCAGATCCCAGTACCCGCCAGCCACCAAAAAGACAAAGGGATGCTCAGTCTTGCAGTGAAGAGAGGTCAAAGACAGAAAAGGAGTGGAATAGTAAAATGCTGCGAGAGAGGTGTCAGTGCTGCGGAGGTCAAAGGAAGATGTCCTGTCCGTGCAGGGATCCGGAATGGCCTCAGGGGAGGGAGAATTCGAGATAGGTCTTAAGAACAGCTAGGATTTCAACAGACAGAGATGCGGGGCAGTACATTTCAGTCCAAGTCCAGCACATTAGCGAAGAAGCAGATGGGAAATAGAATGATGATATCTAAAGGCAGAGTTGTGAACAGCCAAGTAGAAGTAAGAAGTCTCTGAAGGGCCAGGATGAGGAGTTCGTTCTTATTTCAGTAGACAAGTGAATGTCTGATTAAGGAAAAGATGTGGTCAAGAAGTCTGTTTTAAAACTTTGATCTAGCAACAGTGAGTTTGAAATGGAAAGTAACATTAATTGGGCACTTAACAGTGTGCTGGGTATTTTTGTGTATGTACGTTACGTTTACAGATGAGGAGACTACGACTCTGAGAGATTAAGAAATTAAAGCCACGATGCAAGTAAGTGCGGATTCAAATTCCAAAGCCTGTCTTCTTTCTACCATACCTTGCTGGCTAGAAGAAAGGACTGGAGGTCATAAGACCACTTTGGAATCTGATCTAACAATCTAAGCAATAGGTAATGAGGGCCAGAACTGGGATGATAGCTTTGGAAATGGAAAGGACATCAATTGCAGAAGCATCCAAAAAGGACAGTCTATAGAAAGTAGCAAAAGAAATTCATGCCTGAGAAGAGTCTAAATGCCTAGCTTGTAAGCCTGGGCTCAGGAAATGATGAGGAGATCAGAAAAAAAAGTCTGGAGAAGGACCTGATCTTGTTGGGAAGAAGGATAAACTCAGTTTTGATCAAGTAGATGTTGAGATAGCGAGTAGGGGGACCATCTCAATTTAAGATACCATAGACATCTGCATTGAAATGAGAATTGGGGACACTGAATAAATGGTTAAGGTAAAGAAACACGAAAGGACCAACAGAACACTAGAAAATGCCTACACTTAGGAGGTGGGAAGATAGAGCAGACAGAATATCAGAAGAAACTAAATCATGCAAAACGAGAATGAAAAGCAGGAGAGAATTTCAAGGTAGTGACCCACAGCATTAGGAGAGAAGCATAAGGCTGGTGGCCTTAGGGTGCGACGGTGGACAGAGCTCATCACACCAGCCATGGGGACGGGGAGAAAGAAGAAAAAGAAAACAGGGCAGGCAGCACATCAGAGGTGATCTTGTTTGTTGTTGATCAGAATGAAGGAACTGAGCGAAATGGGAGAAGCAGGATGCTAGAGAGAGAACAGATTATTAATGGAACCAAACAAAACTCAGTGTTGGGGGAGCTGGAGGTGGAGGAAAAAATAAAAATGGTTTTGCTTTTCTTCCTTTCACACCTACAGAAAACCTGTTTTTGTATTGATTTGTCTCTTCTTTAAGACCAACATTTATTTTACGGTGTACCTCAAACTTGGAATGGAACCAGCAAGCCACAATAAACAACAGTGAGCCCTTTTCTGAAGCCTCTTTTAACAAAATGCCACAGCTTGGCAGGGAAGTCTGTTTGTGTCTAAGCTGGCAGGGGAAAAGCCTAGAACCCCTCTGTTTGTAAGCTGGCTTTATAGTTTTATTATCATTTAAAGCATCCCTTTCAGAGACTTATGAAACCAAAATATGTGCTGGTTAATGTCATCTGGAAACTGAAAGTTGATGTTCAGCAACTCTCCCTAGCCAATCCCAAGCCTTGGTAAGGATTTTTATTTTGGTCCTACTGGGCTTACTGTAACTGGGGCGCCTTAGTTACTATGGTGATTTGTTCTCAAAACAGAGCACTTTGCTTCAGTACATTGAAACAGCAGATCTACTTTATGTTGACTTGATCGTGACATTAATTCTAGTTGAAACATCCCCCACGTTCCCATCAAGGACTTGCCTACAGGAATTTTAAGTTGGGGCCAAGAAGGCATCGGCTAAAAGAATTGCAACTTTGGCTTTTTAAACCTGGGTCTTCACAATTCATACAATTGAAGACTGTTGGCTCACAGCCTAGAGCTCTACCATGGGGGCGGCTTGCAGCTGGGGGAAAGTTCATCATTTAAGCAATTATGTGGTTAATTGCTCCAGTGTGGGTATAAAGCTGAAAGTTGTGACTCATGCCGCACTGTCACTAATAGATGGGGGGAGGGGAGGGCGGTGGAAGTGTGGACAGGATGCAAAGATGCACTGAAAACCCAGCTGCCCTTTCCCAATCCTCTCCAAATGTGTAACCAAGATCTGCCCTTGTGCGGAGAAAAGCAGCCCTCGCCTCCAAGACGTGGCACTCCTGGTCTCCGTCGG